CATTCATGAAGAACTAAGCTACACAGACAGAGACAGAAAGACAAACAAACTTACAGACAGACAGCGAGTGCAGACAGCTTTACAGGAAGTAACACAGTGTCCTGCACAGCATTCTACTTCATGTGATATTCATTGGGTTACAAAAACTGGACTACACAGAGCTGCAGCTCCTTGATCAAAAGTGAAAATGGCATCCACTGCCCTACCCCATACTGCTGCCAGCGCCTTGGGATGTCCTCCCGATGTGAAAGGCGCTATATAAATGCAATTTTTGTTACTATATAAATGCCATTTATTATCACTAGCTTATTTCTTCTGAATTTTTTTTAACAAATATCAGTGCTGGCAAATGAGGAACATATACAAGTAGTTCAAATGATAAAGAGTTTTCAAAAACAAATAGGAAATGTATGATGAGGGGAGTTGTGAGTTCAAAAAAGAAATTCAAATTGACAGAGAAGTTTCACCAGCAAGTTTCAGGTGCACGCAAAAGGTGTAAACTGACGCGCAAAATGTTTTCATCGGGAAATGATTTTGCTAGGAAGGGAATGCAAAAAGAAACCTCATTTACAGTAGTGGCAATACAATGAGTTAACCAGGACATTGCATTTCTTCCTCTTTATCCACAGCAGCCTCAACAGCACATGGTGCAAATTTTAAGAGCATTCACCTAGATTTACAAGACAATGACCCATTAGGTTCGACCAGGTTAACATTTCTACTTTGTTCTATAACCCACCCAGATGAATGGCTTCCCGTCAAAACTATGGGAATCGTCACGTACAGCGTGATGATTTGGACTGCCTAAAAAATAGATCTTGGATTCCTGAAAGCTTTAACCAACAGATTGGGAAAAACAATTTTTGTTTCAAATATCACTGGAAAAGCTGAAATTTTTCTCACTCATGTCTGTCAGGGCAAACTGGAAACATGACGGTTAGGGCGTGTTATCGCGTGGGTAATTTAATGTATTGGCACCAATGCAGAAAAAAAAGGAAATTCAATCAATATACTTCAATGCTGTGCCTGTTCCTTTCTAATGGTTACGTTCAATGCAGGGTCTCACATTTCACCCAGTACTTCTTCCTCTTGCTCAAAAATGTGCACACATTTAGAAGGACATAATGTACAACTATACTGCTGGGTTGGGCCAATAGAAAAGTGAGGCTGCATTTTTTCCACGGAATCTGTTACAAACGCCCTCCTCCGCTACAAACGCCCCCCTCCGCTACAAACCTGTACACACATAGCCTGGGCCTCTGCAGGCCATTGCTCGATACTGTTACTGTGGGTGGAGCGGGACCGGCCGCTCATGCACGGAGAGTATTGGAGTCACAGAAGCGGGAAATCGCCTTCGCCCGCTAGTGAGTGAATCTCAATAGAAATAGCAGCTGTGGGACACTACTACTGTCTGTTTGCTCGACGCCCGGCCTAAACTGAGCTCTTGCAACCAATTCTTGATAAGTGCTGTACTATTCAAATTAACATTTGAACATAGTTATAGTTAATTAACTATACGCCTATAGTTTTAATCCGGGTTGCTTCACAAAATGTGTCTCAATAACACCAACCAAGCCTCCGCAACTCCCGCAAAATTTGTCAAAGTTCTCCCCAATTTTTTTCAAAATTTGTCAAACTTCCTGCAATTTTTGCCAAATATTTCTGCAATCCATATAGTTCTTGTGGGGCCAGCGCACATCTGTCATGCACCCGCTAAGTCTGGCAGACAGCTTTACAGGAAGTGATATTCACTGGGTTACAAATACTGGACTCCACAAAGCTGCAGATCTTAGTGAAAAAATGACTACATAGCTGCTGTACAAAAATGTCCCCATCCACTGTTAACGCTTGATTGAAATCCAAGTGATGGCATGGAGTAGGATAGCAGTTTATCTTACAGCAGGCGCTTCTCAATGTAGGGAGCTCAACAAAGTACCCAGAACCAATTGATAAAAGGATCATTTTGTGTCCTGGATGGAGCACTGGGCAGTACAAGGGGAAATGCAATTAGCTACAGGGAGGCAGGCAGAGAAATATACAGGTTACAGGGCAGTGCTAAAGCGCTAACACTGGGGAGAATGTGATTAAAGACTGAGTACAGAAGATGGACAAAACAATTAATACGGTGACAAGAGATTGCAGGACCTCCAAGACCCACAGCCCCATGTTTTGTTAATTTAAAAAAAGTAATTATTTTCCCTATTTCACCTATTTTCAAACCAGAGCTTGTTTTTTTATCAGCCAGGGTGTCTCACCTGCATAAAAACCCATCATCAGGCTTAAGAGTCTCCAAACCATACTTAAAAGTTCCCCTTACATGTGCTTTTCATCTGTCTGGTACGAAGTTCACCTTCTCTCCCCAGAGAAATGTACCCTGCACCCAGAGAGCTTAGATGCAGGTTGGCAGCAGGAAAGACATGGGGACCACAAAGTGCGTATTGGGATACAGGTAAACTCGCATAAGTCCCACCAGTCGGAACCATAACATATAATATGACTCACACGAAGTATGAGTTACAGGCAATCTTGATAATTTGTACCAAATACAACTTAATCAAAGTTGTGTACAAGTTGGATTTTAGACAACTAACACATAACAAATACAGTAAACAAGTACAAGGTCCTTGTCACTAACTTGCTGTACCTGTATTGCCTGATGCAATGATGACGGCTCAAGACCTTGTTTTCTGCACTGTACTGCGCATGCAGTACTTCATCACTGCAGCTGATAAGTGTGCATGAGGTGACGGGTCAAGCCTTCATTTCCTGCACTTGTTTCAAACAGAACACTGCGCATGCTGACTTCAATGCAACCAATAAATACAGCAGCTGTATTATTTAGGAGATGATTTGCATAGGATTATTTGGGACCCAAAACCGTTATGATTTAGCTGTTTATCCGACTTATAAAATACGACTAGTGCAAGTGTTTTTTGGTGGGAAACTGAACGGGACTCAAGTATATGTATGACTTAGGTGTTTATATGATTTATAAAGAAACAACTTGTGCGAGTTTTACTGTATTGCTGGAATGTAACCTGCTAATTTGTCATTGCAAATGCTACTTGTCCAGCAAGAACTACTACAAGGGACCAACTGGCTGGTCTGCTCTTTCAAGTCCCATTGATGAGCCAGGCTGGCAGGTCAATCATCAACAGAGCTCTGGAGTACTGTGGACCTGCCGAGCTCAGCTATCGGAATACCAAAAACTGCCAATGAAGTTTCTGATGCTCCATTGCTATGCATGTCACCGTGGAGCCAACTCAGCTCGAAGAGACACCACTTCTCTCCCGCTGCAATGAGGACAGGCACCAGCTGAACCTACTGTCGTCACTAACTGGACAGTAGGTTCAAGGTACTTCAGCATGGTGGAAGGACCTATACAGGGTATAGGATAAGTTGCAATGTGGCAGCCACCATGGAGATTCTAGAGGTTCAAGCCCAGGTTTACTCATTGCTAACTGGTGAATCCAGTCCTTAGTAAAGCGATATACCCACTGTGAGACTGTCAGGATAGGAGGAAGCTATCCCTCTGTGCAGTCACTTCTCTATTTTACTGCAAATCTGGTCTACTGTATAATTTCCATGTTCAGCATTAGACCATTTCCCCTCTCTTTTTGTAGTGCATATTCAATAATAAAGGACGTCTGGCTGAGGTGGCCTGAGGAAATATGGTATTTCTTGGTTATTTAAAAACAAATTTAGCAATGGCATTTTAATATAAATATCTAAATTATGACATTTCAAAAGGTGCATTTTGATTTAGTTGAGGGATGGGGGAAACTAAACTGAAATCTATACATGATTTGTTTTCTTAAACAAAAATGGGTCGTACAACCATTGAGGCTGTACACTCAATCACTGGAGCGTTAATGGGTCTTCTGTCTCAAGACACAATTCAGGTCAATAACCTCCTGAAGGACTGCATTTCAAAACGAGTTATGAGTGACTGAGGGATAATTAGACTGTATAAAAGGTGAGGGAACATACGGAATAATAAAACAAAATAATTTTAAAAAATTCCGAAGCTCATTTCTGTCAGGCTGTGTCAGATGAAGAGTCGAAAGAGCCAGAAATGATGAAGTTTCCTGTGTTGGCCAGGCCAGACATTGACTGAGCAGCTTGCTGGCTCAAGTTGTTACATATTAACACTAGCTGGTTGCTTTGTGCCTCGGACAAGGAACTGCAGCTCTGGTAAACACTAAAGTTGGTCTTTCTACCAGGAATATTCCCCTTTTCGCACATGGTTTTCACCATCTTTGAGAGCTTATTTTTCCCGAGGGATTGGCTATTGTACCAGTAAAGTGCCGCCAGGTTGCAGACTGGCTTGATAGACAAATAGAAAGGTGCGTCTTCATAACGCATTGCCGGCGGGCGTCTCTGAGCGTACTCCTTGTAGTCCTGCACGGGACATGTCTGCGGAGAGTGTGGTGTGGCGTAAATCCTGCACTCTGTCCCTGCTCTCCGGGATTTCCCCTGCAGGTCGCTGAGGTCAGGAATTCCCCATTCCAGGTACTCCAAGGCCGTCTCGGTTACGTGCAACCTGATGTCCCCCCATTTCAGTGTGGAGCTGTGGAATCCAGCACAATGCCCAAAGGCTTTCGTGTTATTTAACCAGACCAGGTTCAGCAGCCCCTCGGGATTGTATCGACTCAGCAGCCCTCTTTTGCGCAGGATGAGCTCATCTGCAAAAGTCAATTTCATGGACTTGTGTGGCTTGTTTCCTTTGCCTTTGCCTCTCAGTTCAAGCTGTTTCTGCTTCAATGCTTCTTGAGAGTGTCTGAACTCCTTATCCCTTGTTATACTAAACCCATATTTATGTTCCTTTAAGTACCTTTCAAGTCCACATTGATAGTTGGCCAAGCTGTTGGGCTCGTACTCAGAGCCGTCCTTCTGCCTGGCGTCCACAAAGAAGGAAGCCAGGTAGGCATCGAGCTCCGAGGCTGGGATTATTTGAATCTCCCGATTTTCCTGTGGATATTTGGAAATGAGGAATTCACGGAAGTTACGCAGTGCGGTCAAAGTGCTTCGGACGGTTTTCTCGTTCTGTTGACCTTCGGACCCTCGTTCTTCATTGTCTGAGAAAGAAGAGAAAGAAAATAGGAGCTACACATAAAACCATTTCAAAACTAAATTTCAATTTCACAAAGGTCATTGGAAAACGATATTACATACCTGTCTCAGGTTTCAAAAGCCAACTTCAATTTCACACATGGTGTAAAAAGATTAAAACAAAAAATAACAATTAAAAATAAGATCCTCAAGTCACTGCTGCATTCTCAGTGAGAAAACTAGTGAGGAAGATTAAGTAGCAAGCAGCAAGTGCATCCAAGAACAAGTGCAGAATCAGCACCCAAAGCACTGTCCCGCAAGGAGGGCAGCTTTATATACTGTGGCCATATAGCACACAGCATATGAGATATGAATGTACAAAAGAAATGTACTCCTGCACTTTTCCAAGTTATCTTTTATATATAACCTCGCTGGAGAACCTGTAATTCTGAAACAAGATGCTGGACTGTAAATACCACTCTGAGAGAAAACTAATTAGAATTGAGCTCATTTGGAATAAAGGGTTCCACCAACCATTTGACTGCACTTTATACTCTGGTTGTTGAGCACAGTAAGGCATATAATATAGCCTTACTGTGCTCAACAACCAGAGCATAAAGTGTGTACAGGGCCCAACAATAAATGATAAATATCAGTTACACAAACACACACACACAATTTCACATAGTTACAAAGGAGAACTCAATCTTGCTTTGCTTTTCACCTCAATTGTCAAAAGCATAAACACCAAAGGCGCCAGTTGGTGTCCAACCATCTTTAATTGGATGATATAATAATATCCTTACGTTTGGTACAGCGCCTTTTACGTCTGGAGGACGTCTCAAAGAGCTTCATGGGATTTTACTGTTAGAAAGTGTACTGTAAAGTGTAGTGACTGTGTTTTGTGGGAGAGTGCCTTGGTGTGGAGCCCTGGTACTGTAAAGCTACAAACCATGAAGAATGAATGATGTGACTTTTGGCTGGATTTCTGCAATGTAGTAAGTGTGCCTCAATACCTTGAGAGTGTCTGAACTCCTTATCCCTTGTTATTCTGGAAGGGTGCTGGCACCTTGGGCAACCTAAGACTTTGTGACCAATCTATTTGCCAATAAACCTTTTCAACAACAACAACTTGCATTTATATAGTGTTCCACATGCAGGATAGCGTCCCAAAGCACTTGACAATGGGGAGCACATAAACGTTTTCTAAGTAGAAGTGTTGAAAAAACTACTACAAGGGATGGAACAAGCAATCCTAGACCTAGCAGCAGCCCTAGCCTGATGGTTTCATGCCTGGAGCCACAGGACTATCCGGATGGTTGGTCAAAGATGGATGTGGCACCACCATTGGGGTGATTATTAGTTTTGCAGGTGATCTGCAATGTGAAGCACACAGTGACAGCAGAACATTCCACATGGGAACGATTAGGAGACAGAACAGTTTTATTCGAACCATTACACATCTTCTGTCTGCCCAACCCTACCACTTCCATCCCCTCTACAAGAAGTCAATGACACCAACAGGTGGAAAGGAGAAATCAGGGGAGGGACATAGAAAACGAAAGAGAGAGAGTGAGAGAGAAAGAAAGAGAAAGGCGTTGTTTAGGGAGAGAAATATATTTGGAGAGAAAGTTAATAGTGTAATTGATCATGCTACAAATGGTCAGTCAAGCTATCTCAATGAGTAAAAGTGGAATGGTACTGAGTCATACAGAAGAACTATCCAGCCTCAATCCGTGGCGCCGATTCGTGGGGCTGCCAAAAAGCATAAAACATGCGCACTTTTNAAAAAAAACTTGGCTGCCCGGGATGGCTAAGCACTGGGAACCATTCATGGGGGCACTCGGAAAATTTCCAGATTTCCCCTACAGGCAGTCCGCCCCTGACTGTACAGTTCAGTCAGTCTCACGATATTCCATCATAAAAATACACCACCACAACTTCTTGCACTTATACAGCATCTTTTGCACAGGTGGACGATTTGAAGCACGGTAAGGCAGGCAGTTTAACAAGTGCGGAAACCTAAGCAGGGTCTGAAGTAAGGAGAGAGGGAAAAAGTAAAAGGGAGGTGACCGAAGGCATAGTCGAAGGGGTAGGTTTTTTTAAAAAAAAACTCACATCTTGCTTCCCTTTTGGGAAGGGGGACAAGAAAGCAGAGGCATCGTGGCCGAAAGCACACACTGGTTCTGGGACACTCAGGGATTTCTTTATATCTGCCTCAAGTACCAAACTGCTGGATACTAGATTTCTGATGACACCTTAAGATTTTCCTCTTCAATCGTGCCTTTGGACACTCCCCCCCTCACCCTTCAGATTAGCGTCCAACCACGTCGCTGTTAAACCGTCCGAAATGCTATCAGGTGAAGGGCATCATATAAATATATAAATACAACTTGTTGTTGTTGACCATATCACTGTAAACTAGTTCAATTCCATCAAATAGAAAGATTACTTGTGGTTTTAATTTTTCTTCAATGGATATTTTTCTTCATTGAGTCTTATTTCAGTAACACCAGTGGTGGGTGGCTCTAATCAGTCTGAATGTTTAATGTGAAATCAGTTAACTTAAATCCCCACCAAGATGAAGAAGTTTACAGGAGGATGGTTTAAAAAAACCGGCCAATGGGACAAAATCTGCAGGATTCCCAAACACATTTCCTAATTATAATAATAATAATCTTTGCACTTGATATACTGCTTTGTCGAGATGTCATTGCAGGATTTACTGTGATGTGGCTGTGTATTCTGTAAACAAATGTGGCAGTTAATGTGAGCACAGCAATCTTCCACAAACAGCTATGAAGCCGATAACCAATTTTATCTGGAGAATTGTTGACCGGGGGCACGAAAACAAAGTCCCTTCTCTTTTTAAGTAGTGCCATGTGATCTTTAACAGCCATCTCAAGAGGAAGACGGGTCCTTGGTTTAACATCTCATACAAAACATGACACTTCCGACAGTAAAGCAAACCCCCAACATTGCATTGAATCATCACTCTAGAGTATATTAGTTCAAAATCATGATGTGGAGCTTGAACCGACAATCTTCTGACTCAAAGAGTCAAGCGTTCTACCAACTGAGCCAGGCTGACGCTTATTTAAGGAATGAGTTTAAGAACATCAGCAGGTGGTGTGGTGTCCCTCAGCAAATAAGTGGTTTAAGTGGTCGTGGTCTGACCACCACCATTTTATTCTAGCCTGTCATGAGTAATTCCTTTTTCTAAATTTCAAGTACTACATTGAGCTATGATTTTTGTCGTTTAGTTTTGCTTTCCCAGTTTATTTGTCGAGGAGGGATGAAACCCCGCTATTCTAACCCACAAAAATTAACTTTTGGTGATCAGGAGTACTAGGCTTAAAGGCTCGGACAGATGATCTAACTCTACAAGCCAAAGGCCTAATGGGTAGGGTAGTCTAACTGGATAAACAGCGACAAGACTTGCCAGTCAGTACCCAATGTATACTCTGGGGTGCCTAAGCCTTGGCTGTTGCCAACATGAGCCTAATACTTTCTGGAATTAGATAAGCAGGACGTGTCCCTCCAGGGAGAGAGTGCCTATTCCATTCCAACAATCTCTCTCTGGAATCTCCATGTGTAGGTGGGATGCATGGAAATCTCAGTTTGGTTTGGATACTCTTAAACATGGTAATGGGTTTCTGCATGTATCAGATTCCTGGCTAACACCCAAAAAATGAATCAAGCTAAAGTTCATTTTGTAAGCTTAGAAGAACAGGGATTTTGAACCTCTTATATGAATAAACTCTGGGAAAGCAAATCTAAACACGAAACAGACCCTGATATGAGGCCTAAAAATTATAAAGTGCTTTGAGATTTCCTTTCAAGGTGAAAGCGCTATATCAAATGCAAGTGTTACTTATTTATATTTATTTATTGCTTGCCTCAGGGTCAAAACGAATGCAGCAGAAATTCGACCCTGAGTAGAGCAAACCACTTACCTGTAAATGGTGCCCCTACTGGTATTCTGAAACTCATCCCTTAAATAAATTAGGTAAAGGAAGGCGTTTAGAAATCTTGCAAATTTTACCCTTGTGTATAAAGGGTAAAATTCTTGGCTAATATCACATCTAAAAGCTTCTAATTAAATTTACATCACAGATTGGAGGCCGCAGAAGTGGAGATATAAGAGCTTTGTGGAAGCGGCCATAAAATTGACAAATCCAATGTCCGCAATATTTTAAACATATTTAAGTAACAATTATTAATTGTGTGCGTAATTGGCTATTGGCTTTCACTCACAAAATATAGTCACTACACTTTACAGTATATTCTGTGGAGCACTATGAGACGGCATGAAGACGTGATCAACCGCTGTATCAATGCAATTATTATTATTTATGGATTATTACTATTTTTAAAAAATCTAATGGAATAGTCTACTTAGATCAGTGGTTTATGGAGAAAGAATGTGGTCGAAATGTGAGTTTCCCAAGACGTGTGTGAGAGGGCTCTGGTGGGTTATGAGGCCTGACAGGAGTCTATGATTTACTTTTTTTTAAACCGCCAATTCACCACCAGCCATCTTCTATTTACATCACATTCTCAAATCAAATTTACAGCCTGTCACGACTCCAAGATTGCTCCCTGAAATGTTCATGTCGTGCTGATTAAAACAATAAATCACAAAAGCAGAGCCTTCATTATGTTCACATACCACAAGCACGCACTACTGATAATACAAGGCCCGGACACAATAAAAAGCAGAGCCATCTCATCTGACTGAGCTCTGTATTTATCGTGAAGCACGGGAGTGGGGGAGAGAGAATAAGTGGATTGTTTTCTCTGACGCCAACTGGCATTTAGCTTCATGTTTATTTTCCTTCCTTTATTATTAAAAAGGCTTTAAATTTCTAACTGCATACTTAGCTTACTGGATTATTTAACCCCTCACATGCTGTAGAAACTATTAAAGTGCAAACAAGACAAGACTGAAAGAAGAAAAAACCTGCGCCTATGGAATCACTGCTTAGTATGAGAGGGCTGGTGGGTTACGAGGAGAATTTTATCA